TCATTTGCATAAATATTGTTTGCAAAGAGCAATTAGCAGTAAATTGACATGCAAAGCAAGTAGTAATTGAACTTTGTCAATGACCGTTTCAGCGCTCGTCGGCATAATGTGATACAATGCATTTCGGCATCTGCAAGCAAATTTTGTTTTTCTTCATTGCCATTACCGTGTTATTGTTTGGGTCATAGGAGACTGTAATCAACTTATTTCCCTTTGTCTAAGTATTCAGGTGGTTAGACGACAGGCAGAGTTACATCTACAAGTCACAACATCCAAACATTCAGACAAGGACACCCTCAGAATGGATTAGTGAAATGGTTTAGTGAAACTGATTGTGGAGGGAAAATACCTATTTTGTTGCTGGTGAAATTTTGCCAACATGGAAACTCATTGAGGTGCTTAGCTGAAATTCCTTTGCCAAGAATTTTCAAGGGCCATGTTGCCATTCATTTTGAATGAAACCCATGAGCACCTTCACAATGCACTTGAGTTGCAGAAGGAGACATAGTCACAAGCACACCAGGGGTCCACTTTCAGCTATTACCCTGTGACTTGTTATCGATTGTGCTACTGTTTGCTTTCCTGTTGCTGACCTGGGCTTGTCTTTGGATTTTGCTCTGCTTCCCCATGATTGATCTTGGTTTGTGGTCTGACCATTACTTGTCATGGCAGATCTTCTGATGTGGCCTTGGCTTGCCTCCTGACCACACTTCTGCCTGCTCCTCTGGTTTCTACCTGTGAAATGAACCTGTAGTAGGCTGAGTCCGAAGTGGATCTCAGGCTGATAATTTGGCGAAGACATGGTCGGGCAGGCAGGGTCGGCAACAGTCTGACTGCGATGTACAAAGTCGGGATCCAAGAGAGTAGTCGGGAGGCGGGCAGAGGTCTTGACACGAACAGGCAGCAACGTACAAAATCGTCAGGCAGAATAGTCAGGAAACAAACAAGAGTCACGGTGTAAATCGAGCATACGCCACAGAGGTAGCATTATCAACTATTTTAGGCTAACAAAAGATTGGAGAGTAGGAATGAGCTGACCAATTCCCAAACTTAAATCTGCCACAAAATAAGCCTCTAATTTCATCATGTGGCGCTGAAAAATAAAAATGTTCCCCATGCAGTACTCCTAGCTGTAGGACCCCAGCACCATGTGGCATGACTTTGTTTATAAACAAAGTCAATCAAAATAATCTAGGGCATGTACAGACAAAAGACAGACCTAAGGGCTTGTTCACACTAGCCACAGTGTGTTCCAGCCTGATTGGGAGCGGAATGCACTGCATCGCATTGTGGCCGGCTCACTTTGGGGTCTATTCACAAAGCTGCGGAAGGATCTGGCCATAGCTTCGGCCGATCCTTCGGCTGGCTTCGGCCCCAGGACCCCTTCGGTTTAGGAGAACCGAGGGGGTGCTGTACGGGCTATTCACAATAGCCCGTACAGCTCCCGATCACGGCCGAGCAGCTCAGTCGAGCGCTGAGCCGTCCTGAAAGCCGAAGCTGGCCGAGCG